TTTTTTTTCATGGTGAAGACACGTCGAAGATGAAAAGGAGAGAAAGCTTGCGAGAAATATTCCACAAAGGAAAATTATTTTCTTCTTTTCTTTTTTGCATGATCTTCGTCGAATCGAACATTTTAATTATGAATTCATTTAAAATTGCTTTTATACTCCCATTTCCTCTAAAATTTTTAAATGATTATTAGAAGATAAGAAACATATTTAGCATATTTATAGATATATATCTTATATGTAAATATATCATATATATCATATATATATATATAAATATTCTTTCATTTTAATTTTGTAAAATTAAAAGTAAAAATTTATGGATAAAACTGCAAAGTTTTACAATCTTATTAAAATAAAATCTTTGACTCAAACAAACAAACTAAGCAATTTCGTTCAAGTATCTCGTTTTCTTAATTAAATTATGAATTTTCTAAACTACTTGGTCATCGTCTATATTTTTAATGCAAATCTTATTGTCAATCAAATTGTAAAACATTCTTTCAAAAAATATTAAGAAAAAAATTGCAATTATCTATAAATGATAATTAATCTATATATATAAATTAGATTAGGTTTACAGTCTTTAATATATATAAGATATATATATATATATAAAGATTTTAATCATATAGAAAGAACAAGATAAGGATCTAAACGATAAAGAAAGTTTGTTTTATAGATGAAATACAAACTCCTTTTTTATTATATAATTACTTCATAAAAACTTTCATATAGTTTGACTTTATGGAGATTGATTGTTACTTTGCTATGGCAAGATGTATTGCAATTTTCGCATTTAGTGTGTTCGTATCCATCTCGTCACATCTTACCAACTCGTTTCAAACTTTCATTATGTCAGTCTTTTTTCAGTCCTCCTTTGATCACGTTGATGCAGCCACGTGCTCTTTATATCTCTCATCGCCTTTTTTTTTTTTTATCTTTTATGTAGCATATCCGAAATTTGTACTTTTGTTGACATCCTTTCGTTATATTTACAATTTCTAATTATACGTATGAGTTCTTTCAAACTTAAATTAATCAACTTCTAAACAACAATAACAACAATTTTCTAAAAAATTCTTTATTTTAAAAGTAATATAACCTTTATTTGTATAATAAGTTCTTTTCGCTATATTTTCGAAGGTCATTCTCATTTGAACTCAGTGAAGCGAATAATTTCACATCAAAACAATCATAAATTTCTTTAAATGTTTTGAAATGACAGTTCTAAAACATTTAGAAAAGTTCTAACACATAGAGAAAAAATTTCGCTACTTGCCTTTCTATATGTTCGTCATTATCTATAAAGATAAAACGAGCTCAAATTTCATCTCTTTAGCAATAGTATATTACTAAAGTATATAAAAATACTATATAATATCTATTCGTGGTCAATTTCAAGTTGTGGAACTTATGATGAATACTGAACATAATATTACTAACGTATATTTTTAATGTAAATAGTTTTTAATTTATTTGTTAGAAAACAATTTATCTATATTTCATAACCTATATAATACTACTTTGTATATTTTTTATAAGCATAATAATTCGAAAAAGAAAAATTTATATTTCTAAGTTAAGTAATTTGATATTTCTTAAAAAGTAAGTTTACATATTTAAATAATTTTTATAAATATATTTCCTTATATATTCGTTCGTATCAAAATATCTGCAAAATCTTAATCTTCATTTTACAGTTGAGAAAGTCTAATCTAATCTTCATTACGTTCTCGATATATCCAAGTTTGTCCTTGCTTTCATTCAATTTCTTTGTAAAGTTGGACTTTGAAAGCAATATTTTGATCAAGATTTAGCGATCGTGGTACACTGAACGCAATGCGCCGTTGTGTCTCGACATGTCGACTCATAGGCACGTAACTGCGTATCTGCATTGCCTGCGGCCCTCCGTGTCAGCTTTTTAGTCTTTCACTCTCATGTACACGAAAAGGGCGAAACTACCATTCGAAATTCGAAAAGCTACAATGCCCAAGTGTTCAGACAAAAAAAGCAAGTAAACCCGGTTCACTTCGATGAATAGAGATTCGTTCTCTAAACTCTGTTTCGCTTCCTAATAATCTTTCCGTTAATTCCTTCTTCTAATTAGCTTTCGATGGAACGATTCACGGATAGGTTTAATTAACGACCAATTTATTCGTGATTCATCTTAAGATTAAAATCGAAATAGATTTTAATTTGGATTTGAGGACAAATAAATTGAAGAAAATCTTAAATTTATGAAATATTATAACAATGGATATATAGAATGTTTTTTCTGAATGAATAGTTTCGAATTATTTTATATACGCTTCATATCTTCGTAGAAATAAATTCACGTCAATGACATTTGTAAACGTTTTGCACATATATATATACGATTTCTATTGTATAGAATGTCAAAGTTTACTCATGTAGTAGAACTAAAAAGATTACAGTTTTTCTTTATCAACATCTGAATTATTGATTAAATACAGCTTGTTTCTCTAAAATTTTAAAATAGAAACAATAGAATATTTCCTGGAATATATTGATTTTATATTTTTTGTTTTATTCTTAAACTCTTTTTTTGTTGTATAACACGTTATATAAGATTTATCGATTTCTCTTTTCATTTACTATCATTAAGAGCATAATAGGTCTACATTCTCATCTATCATTCATTCATACATACATGCCTTTTATACACTAATGACTCAAATATTCGATAAAATACTTAAAAAAAAATTATTTTGGTAATATGTAAAAAGAAATAAAAAATGATTAAATAATTTAATATTAATTTACGAACAGATAATTTGATAATTATTTAAAATTATTTATAGGTCTTTTAGGTTATGTCTTGAAATAAATAAACTATGAGGCAATTTTCATTTAATCTAACTAATATAAAATCATTAAAAAATAACATTCCTCGTTCTATTATTATTGCTATAAAATATGAGAGTATAATTATATTTAAATAAATAAGAAGAAACGATTAATTAAAAATATTTGATCACAAATTGAAAGCCGTTGTTTTAGTTAATATCTAAACGTTATCTGAACATTTCGAGTCTTATTATCTGAACTATTTCGGAACTTCCGAACCAATTATCCAATCGAGAAACTCGAGCATACTTGAACAATTTGTACTTCTTTTTTAAATTTCTTTTACCAATATTTATTATCACTATAAATCTTCTATTAAAATTTTTATATCAGGTGAATTTTATAAACGCGTGATGTATAGAAATAAAAGTGTTATCAATAGATTGTTTTCAACATCAGCGATTTCTATCAATCCTGATTAGTGGTTGATGGAAACGTTTTACAAGATAAATTGTTTTTGTCGTGGTTAAACCCCGGTCACGCCGAGTTAAATGAGGGGATTATTGCCATTGATTAAGAGCAACGCTGATTGCGAAAATTACAACGCGCATTCAAGTCTTTGTTTTTACTGTTAACACGAACACCTGAATTTATTAAATTAAAATCAATTAACTATTTTTCTCTATCAAAAAAATATATTTTTATAATAAATGTAATAAATATACACTATTATAAATACATTAATTTAACAAAAAAAAATAAATAACAGAATTAATTAATAAGGAATTTTCCTAAAAAATCCCTAGAAAAGTTAGCCAATCGACGAATAAAAACCATTATTTTAAAAAATATCGACTTTCATTTTTCCTAGTAAGTATATATAATATAATATTGTTTCGAATTTTTCAATTGAATCATCGATCATCGATTAATTCCAAATTAGAAATATATCTAATACCTAAATATTCAATCGACAATTAATCTTTTTTCTCTTCTTTTTTTTATCGGTTTTTTTTAACGATTGAAAAGATGAATTCAGCGATATAATGTTTGCCATAAAGATAGATCGATCAATCTATAAGACAAACAGTCTGCGCGACGTGTAATCCTTTTAGGGGATGCTTCGGGCATAGCCTGTTTGCACGTTCTGAAATGTTCTCGTTTAAAAGCCGGATGATGTTAATTATCTAAGCGGGGTGTACATGTAGTGGGGGGTTGCAGTTTAAAGGTTGGTTTTTATAGCTTGCATCGTTAGTGTCGCGGGTATCAGAGGATATCCGGTTTCAGTCGATTAAAGGGAACCATATATCGCTGAACAATCCGACTATTTAATTGCTTAACCTTTCGAGCTTGAAGCGTATTTTCTTATAACAACTCATTAATATTCACGCCTTTCGTACATTTATTAGAATTAGTTAAAATTAACTTTTTTTTTTAAAGAATGGTCTGAATTATTTCAAAATCGTGTTATAAAGATTATTGAATTTATCAGTAATAGTGAATTATAAATTAAAAATAATTTAGATTAAGTTAAAACTAACTACGCTACATAGCATTCAGTACTGCCCACATTTTTTACTGAATAAAATATAAAGAAAATAGAATATTGTCTAAAATATTACGCTTATTTTTATTTTTTAAATAATTTAAAAATTAAAAAAAGAAAAAATGACAAAGAAATATAAAATTGAACAAAGCAAATAATTATCTTTTTTTCGAGCTTTCGAACATTTATATTTTTCAAAAATTCTCTCGACTTATCGAGTTTACAATTAGAAGAAACTTTTCCACTTTTATCTACGCCTAATCGGAAACTGCGTTCCACCCGCTCAGTTCCTGATTTCCCACAAAGTGGAACATAATTCCAGTAATTTCGCGAAATTTCCGCGTTTCGTCGATGCAACAGCGGTTCATTCCTCCTCCCCTTATTACTTTCCTTTCCACTCGGGAATAATTTAGCTAATTTCCTAAAGCTTCATCTCGCTTCGACAACGATTGAATCGTCTTCCTTTTCATCGTTCTCTCGCCGGAAACATTTCCTCCGGTTTGCCGGCGTGGTTATCGGATCGAAGGCATCTCTCGAGGAGGGCCGATAAAGAGAGCGGACAAAAGCGTCGTCCGCCGCCGATCGATTTTTCGCCGGATTCTCGTAACGATTCTCCTTTCCTTCTTTCCTTTTCTTCTTGTTACAGCCTGAGAACCGAGCAACCGAGTGGTCTCGACACGGGCGGCGTTCGCTTCGAGCTGAGCAGGGCTCTCGATCTGTGGGCGAGGAACTCGAAACTCACCTTTCAGGAAGTTAACAGCGATAGAGCGGATATTCTGGTTTACTTTCATCGGTGAGTTATCTTTTTTTTCTTTCTTTTTTTTTTTTTTTTTTTTTTTTATAAATCCAATAATTCTAATATGATAATGATTGGTTGGACAGTAATTGTTATAATTGTGATTCAATTTGTGAGTACGATATATTTTGTGCACACATATGTATTACTTTTATTAAGAATTGAATGGCATGGGTACAAAATTGAAAATTTTACGATTATTAATAGGATTAGATTATATTTAAATTGTTAAAAAAATTCTGAATTTAATGCTAATTTTATTTATCCTGATTTTTTTTTATTATCTGAAACTTAAAAAAAATTTGCTCGAAATAACAATTTAATAAATAATTTATATCTATTGTAAAATTCCTCCAATCATAGTTCATATGCTTAAAGTAACGTTTATCAATTTTTTAAAAATTTTGTAAAGTATTAATTTTTTATTCGTTTCGAATCTTGCTAAAATTGTATAATCTTTAATGATAATTTAATTGTAAAATAATGAAATTGTTGTACATCTATGATTACTATTATCCACGCTCGAAAATAGGCAAAATACTTTTAACTTTATTCGATCCTGGTCACGTTTCCATCTAATTTATACATTCTATTGAGATATTAACACAAGTATTATTGAGATATCAATAATACTGACGCGAATCAGGATGATAATTTGAATCCCTCTATAAAAGTTGAAGGGAGAAAACAAAGAGAGGGGAAATAATGTGAACGGACAAAGGGCGGGATCAATAGCTCGATTCACGGGCCTCCTTGTTATCGGGAAATTTATCGCAATGACGCAACTGGAAATGAGAGTACGATTAAACGGAAGGGGTTTATTTAAAATCTGCTATTTGCGCGAATTGTTCCGCGGTCATGAAAGTTATGTACTGGTGAGCGTTTATACGTTCGTGAAATATGTCTGGATATAAAAAGAAACGACAAAATAAAAAAAAAAAATATTCAATTTAAATAAGATTTAAAATTGTTTTATATTATGGTCAGGATCAATTTACATGATAAATTATCGAATTGTAATATCATAAATTAATTATAATTAATTATCAAGTGACAAATTATAGGTTATGAATAGGTTTCTTAAAATTATATAATTTTATATCGAATGGAATATGGATATAAAAAGAAATGAAAAAAAAAGAAGAGAGAAACGTTCAATTTACACGATAAATTATTGAATTGTAATATTATAAATTAATTATAATTAATCATCAAGTGACAAATTATAGGTTATGAACTCGTAGATTTCTTGAAATTATTCCGAATCGAATAAAATAGAATAAATTTTTTTTATTTCATTATTCAAGTCTGTTCTACTATATTGAAAAATTTATTAAAATATTAGCGAGATAGCAATTTATTGTATGTCAAGTTTTTTGATATATTAAGATGTATCGCTTGACATATTTTGCATCTTTAAAGTAAATCATTTTTCTTCTCTAAAGTTATATCAAAATCATAATTATTTTGCAAAAAAAGTCTCGATTATATCCTACTCGAATAATCGAATTTCCAATACTTCGCGATATAAAAATATTTAAAAATTTTATTCTAAATAAAGAAAAACTAATTAAACTTGAATATTAATAATTATTAAATGAAACTAATTGTTAATAATGTATGAAATCAAATTAAATAAATATAGTAAATAAATGTTTTATTTTATTAGAAAGAAAAGTACGCTATTCCAATATATCGGTTTTATATATATGTTAGGTATTTATATTGTATAAAACTCATTTATCTAACTCATTAGTTTTCCTATAGTTTGTAAGTGACGAGAAACTATTATATAATGCATACCTAATTTGTGTGCAACATCTCGCATATAATATCTATGACGCACATCAGACTGCGCTAAAGTCTTCAACCGATTATCGATCATGTTCATGTCAGTAGCATAGTTTGTTTCGAAAGTTCATGTATCTTGATCAACGTTTCTTTTTATAACAAGTTATAACTTCAACTTCTTCATTAGATTATCGATATCATTTATTTTTGATAGATGTAAATTTTATAAAAATTTTAATTTATTAATTATATCGTTATAATTAATATAATAAATAATTTTTAATTCTTGAATTGTTTATTCATTAACTTTATTCTTCGTTTTTTATTATAAATGTTGAAATTCAATAATTAAAAATAAATTTTTAATTTTAATAAATAATTTATTTAATAATTATTTTATAATTGTACTTAATTTTATTATAAAACTTGAAAATAAAATTTTTTTATCGAATGTTTTCTTAGTAACCGAAATAAGCAGACTGTCTGTAATTCTCTTGGGATTGTAATGCTCAAATTAATTCTCCTGTTTCGATTCCGATTATTGTATGTCAAATTAATATTGGAGAACCGATTCTATTAACAGAAATAAGTATTGAAATTAAATGATCGCAAAAAATTAAACTTTGAGAAGGTAATAATATTCGTATTGTCATTTTAATTTATATTATTTATTTTAACTCTTTCTTAAGAATCATTTTGTTTTGACAATTAGAAAATAAAAATAGTGTTGCATTTTTCATTTTTATTTATAATTGATTATTTCTTAAAAAGAATAATTATTTTTTTTTTTAAATAAAGATTTCATTAATTAAAATATTCATTAAATAAAATATACTAAAGCATATATATGCTTGAATATTTATAATTAATAACCTCTAAATAATATTTGCATACAAATTTAGGTTATATTTTCCTTAACATTCCAAAAACATCATTTATATTTCTTTAATTTTAAGAGCTTATTTTGAAATTTATCACAATACTAAAACTAATTTTGAATTAAGATAGCAAGAAAGAAGAAGAAAGGAAAGAAAAAAACGATTCGCTTTCTTGATTAGCCATCCGAATGGTGCGATATCAGTGGCGTATCGGCTGTCTAGATAATCGACGAGTGCTCGTGAATGGAATTTAATTACGGCCCACGATATAGCATATTTCATTCCAGTTCTGTAGAAAAGGTAAATTAAACGAACCGCAAAACTAAGCGATAGATTGTGCATTATATTGTACATTATGTCCGAAATACCATAACAAATTAAAGATATAATGTCTAAATAAACAGAATATAAAATATTCTGTGATGTGAAAATATAACTAAATAAATATAACTAAATTTTTTTATTAAAATAAAATATCATTCCAATATATGTAATATTATTTTTAAATATTTCTGATTAATATTTGTTTATTAAATTTGAAATTTTGTATAAATCTTACTATTATATCATATTACATGAATATCATATATCAGTTAGAAATATAAAGAAGTGTTTCATTCTGGGCCTGCTAGAGGGATTCAACAGTAGCACCATCTAGATTGTTCATATTCTAGACACCATGATAATAATGGCATCTTAAATAAAAGAATGCGTTTGTGGAAATAGTTAAGTGAATGCTTGTGAAAATTATTTTTTGATGTGAATTAGTGAAAAATATAGAAAAAACACTACAATATGAAACAAATGAAGGTAATTTTATCATGAATTGTATAATTATAATTAATCAATTATGAGTTTCATCATATAAATATAATATATGTACTTATATGTATATATAAAACTAGTATTGAAAGGTTAAATACAAACTATTTATCATGGACAAATTTTATGATAAATTTGCTTCAAGACCCAAACATCTTACTAAATACATATCCAAAAAGAGAATTTTTCCTTTTTTGCAACAAAAGTACTATTTTTCCATATCAATAAATGTGAAATTTGTTACCAAAAATTCTCTCTTCACACTTAAAAATTGTCCAAGATATATTGATAATTCCACACATATCAATTGACATTTATATTTGTATTTAAGAAACAATCGATATGAGAAATTTAAATAAAATCATGATTGAAAAGAGATGAAAGGATTTTTATTTGGATTAATATTAATGAAATTTTAAATTAATATTATAAATTATGTATATATATATATATATATACACATATATAATTGATACTAATAGTGATATTCTGTTCTGTTTCAGTGGCTATCATGGAGATGGATATCCATTCGATGGCAGAGGCCAAATTCTAGCACACGCATTCTTTCCTGGCAGAGATCGAGGAGGAGACGTACATTTTGATGAGGAAGAAATATGGTTGTTGCAGGGCGACAACAATGAAGAAGGTAAATATAATATGTCACATTTTTTCTTTTAATGTATAATCAACTTTATTATTATGCAAAATAATTTCTAAAATAAAATAAAAATATTTTCAATAAAAATTTTAAATTTTTAGATAAAATTATATTATTTCTAAACAAAAAACGATAGAAAATTTGAATTATTATTAATTAAAGATAAATATATCATATTGTTTTTATATTCTATTAAACTCGTAAATTCGATGAAACCACAACTCTTTAATTCGGAATATCTACTGAAATCGAGAAGTTAACAATGAAATTTCAAACTAACGATTCAAACTCGTTCAAATATCAAAAAGTAAATACAATCTCTCCAGAATTATCCGCTAACAATAAATCGTGAAATTTAAACCTGGATTTTATAACAGTGACGAGAGAGAGATATAAGAGAAAAGTTTAGAGGGATTCGCAGATGAAAAGAAAAGATTCGTGAACCGAGAAATTTTCGCAAGAGAAATCGAGCCCTTCTCACTTTTTGGCAATTCGCCAATTCGGTCACCCCGTGACCGAAAGAAGAAATAAGAGGATGACGATAGAAAGCGTTTCTCTATTCCACCATATATGCCTTATCGCTATTCTCGATCGATAACATCGCTTATCGTTTTGAATTTCTAGAATCTAGGAACATATTAATTTAACATATTAATTTAAATTTTTGTTAAAAAATCGCTTATGGAAAACTTTGAAATATTTTTTTCTAAAATGAAGTATTATTCAAAATTTTTGTTCTATTTATTTTTTGAAAATGAAATTGTAAACTAAATAGTTGCTTTTTATTAAACTTAAATTTATTTATTTTTTTATTAAAATTCAGAATTTATCAATATTTGCAAATATTTTTTTAATATTTTTGGAAATTAGTGAAATTAATGATATAAATATTCGATATAATATAACATTATTAATAGAAGAATGACGTAGGTGAATAACAGGATAATTATGTTAATGGGATGCAAGGCTAGCAGAGAATGAGAGCTAAGCCAGAATTATTAACAAGGTCAATCGGAATTACACCAATCACCTATCGAAATTGGACTATGCGTAATAATCTGTGATATAGGAAATAGATGATCGATTCTGATTAATCTTTTTTGGTTTTCTTTCTATATTTGTGATATCAACAACTATAACTCGTTTATGAATATGATTTAATATAGGATACGAAATATTGTTATCTAGCTTTGAGAAAATTTTTATTTGACGTTTTTATTTGATAAAAATGAAGGAAAACTTATTGTTTTTTTATTTTATATTCCTAATTTCAAATTTAAGCTTCAAAATTTTCTATACTAGTAATTAATAATGTGGTAATCGGACAACATATTCAGGAAATTGTATGAATTTACTCCCATGTAATTGGATTCAGAATTATACTCTCATCTCGAGAATCATTGGCGAAATTGTTTGTTCTCGCTTCAGTTTGATTATTCCTGTTGTGTGCATTACATTGTGTTCACATGTATCGTGAAAGATATTTATCTTGTATTTGCTAGATTATTTATTGTCATATAAATTTTTAAAAGGAAAAGTATTATTTGCTTATATATGGTATTTTCAAATATTTGTAAAAATTCGAAATAAATTTAATCGAGATCTGATATTTTAAAAGAAAAACAACACTTTGAGATATTTTAACAAAAATTATTTTTTAAATAAAAATTTATTTAGAATTATATATTTTACATATATCTTAATCTAATCCTTAAGAGAAATAAAATTTTAATTTTAGACAATAAATTTATTATATTTTCTGTTAATCAAATATTATTGGATAATGTTCATGCATACACATTAATTGAAAAATTAATGTTGTTATCGAGATTCGAATAATAGAAACTAAGGAGCCTTTCACAGACAATATGTAGTGTTGGTGTCAGTTATGAATTGCTAATTTCATCGCTGACACATCCCGTCGAGAATCGTAGGACGTTTGCAAACGATGAGAAGCCGGAACATCACGATTTGCAAATCCATTGGAAAATTAGCATTCTCCTCGAATAGTCTTGACAGAAATACATCTTGAATACGAAACAATTTGAAATTCTATCCAAAATAATCGTGTTTCCGGATATTTTTAACATGATGAATAAAAATAAATACGCGAAGATTGAAATATTCTGCCTTTTCATTCAATTTTAAAAATTTTATTTTATAATTTATTACAAGATATAAATTTATTTATTTCATTTATTATAAAATAAATTTAAAGTGTATATAGATTTAAATTTAATCTATTTTCTTCTTCTTTTTTATATTATTAATAAAATATAAATATGATTTTCGATATATTTCGTAACTATTATTATCGTAAAATATTTTTTTTTTATTTTTTTTTTTTTATAATTGAAATAATATGTAAAAAATATTTTGAAATTGTTTAAACTTCTTTCTTGTAGTACAATTTCGAATAAATTCATATGTAATATCAAAAACCTATGTTCGTAACTATTATTTGGATTTGATTATGACAATAAATAAGAATCAGAAAATAGTATATCACGATATTTTATGGATGAAATTGATTTAATTTTCTTCTTTGTATATTTGATAGAAAATATAATAACAAACGACACGATAATTTCAAGCAAATCCCGAATAAACGTTATATATACGTTACAAAGCGTTAAAATAATCGTGAAATATTTTTGGAAAAATTAATTCCAAAAATTGGTATACAAAAATATCGTCTAACGCAAACTTCGTATGCTTTTATAATTTAATAAATAAGCGTTAACTAACATTTTTATATACTAATTTTTGTGTTTTGTTTTAAGAATCTAGAATCGATCCTTCAAAGATGTCCATATATTAACACTTTATATATATTTCCAGACAAATCACACATTCTGTATCTAATAACTACTTCAATAATAAGACATAATAAAATGATTTATTGGCATCCATTAAAATATTTTCTTTTTTTATTTTATTTCATTTCTTAATGTTTACCAATTTGTTTATTGAAAACTTAAAAACTTTCTGCAGTAACTAAAAATATAAGCTTCGATTTAGTGTAGAAAAGTAGTGCTTGAACTTGTAATAAAAAAAAAAAAAAAAAAAAATCGCAAAAAACTTGCCGGGCATATCGAGCAATCTGAAATGCCCTTCGAGGACGACCGTAATCCATTCCACTTATTTTCATGCTCGTCCTCGAGCAGGCTTTTGATTAAGAGCACTTGACTCTGGTATATTGCAGCCAGCTGCTGTTAACGTCGAGATTCCGAAGTATCACGTGGGACGCGATGAAAGTTCGTAACGAGGAAACTTCCATCGGAAGATCGCCTAGAAGATGCCACGATTTAGGCCTTCGCGTGGACTTCCTTCCTATAATTGACGCTTTGCAATGTTCTTTCGAGTCTCAAATTATCACTTATTTCAAACATGTCAAGTATTTTATCTTGATTTTATGCGCGAAATGCACGTAATCTACAGTCTGCAATGTAAAAATTGAAGAATATTTTATTTTAATTTAAATTGAGTTTTTAGGTTAGATATAATTATATGAAATTATTTCGTTATTTTAGGGTTTAGATAGGCTAATAGTAAAATTCTTATAATGTTGATTTTTATTAATCATGTAATTCATTTTAATGAAATAATGAATTAGATTAGATTAAATGCATGCAAAATTTCTTTTTTTTACGTTTAATAAGTCAATAAAAATAAACTTACTTTGCTAAAAATATGATTGTTTCAAATAATATTAGAAAAGGATTTACATTTAAATTTATTTTTTTTTATTTTTCTATATAAATATTATAACATTTTTATAAAAAAAATTAAGAATATATCACTTAAAAATATGAAATTATGTTTAAGAACATAACCTTCATATATTTTCTGCATATAGAAGAGAAAATTCATATTATCCATATTTTATTCAATTAAATTGAATACACACGCATATTAAAATCCTCTTCTTTGATATTAAAATCTGTTAAATCTCAACATAGTCGGGAAGTTAATCTCATTGAAATAGTATTCGTACATACGTGTATATATATCTCTTTAGTCGAGTTGAAAATTTTAAGCTGGGATTCAAGCCAAACACGTTACGCTATTCGTGACAATACTGAGGATTCACGGATATTGGCTATTCAGGTGTAATCCTTACTATGCCGGTTGATTACATCACCCACCCTTTTCTCAACTATCTTATTTCGTCTAGCTATCGCAAAGACAGAGTGGGTCTTATTTCGATACTCGAGTTCTCGAAAGCCTGGCAACTCTGCAAGCATGCGTCAATCTCACAAGATATAAAACTATATATATTTCTATTATTGTTTTATTATTGTGTAAAATTAAGCTAACTGATACATTTGGAAAGACTTCGTTTCGATTCAGTTTTATTTTATATTGTTTTGCATATTTGATATTTTTCATAAATTTTTTCAGAATCAGAAAATGAGATTTGTTCCAAGTTATATATTAAGAAATTCATTGCCTCCCTATTTTAATGATCACTGCTCGAAGGAAATTTCTATATAGAATGTGAAATATGTTGATACTCGGTTTAATTAGTTCAGAATTTATTTTCTGCTTTTAATATCTCTTCAAAAACTATTTTCTTTAAAACTTTCCTGGAAATTGGTGATTATAGGTTAGGAAACATTCTATGTTATATATTTAAATACAATATAGAAATTAATTTTGAATTGTTTCTGAATAATACTTTGGATAACTAATTTTTATTTGTTATTTTTAATTTTGATCATAATATTATTGTCTTTTTATTTATAAATAATTCTATTTGATAACAGGTTTTGAATGACTGACTGACCACTGGTTGACTACATCTACTGACTGTCCAATGTCTGACCATTAATTGACCAATGGTATATTTACTGATCAGTAATTTACCAATAATCGATATTCAGAAAATCAAAATGTAATATAATAGTACGTATAATAATATAAATTACACATAACACAAATTATACATTTTATTATTCTTGTATAGATAATAAATTTTATAACGAATGAAGTTCAAATAAATTTAATGAAACATTAATATTACTTTTACATTACATTACATTTCATTACATTAATTTATCTCGACAGATATTACCTAGAACATTATTTAGAACATTACAGTCGAACGGAGTAAAAAGGAGAAATTGATGTAGATTTTTTTCAGTGATACGTGAGAAAGGAAACGATCGCATTTATTCCCTCTTTCGTAGTAACTGAGCACGCTTCCTTTATCGCCGGCCTCCCAAGCTTTAATTTTATGATTTTGACCCACATTTTAAAACGAATGTCCCGAATGCGAAGCGAGACGGAACATAGATAAAAAGAGATCAAAAGAAAAAGCACGCCAACGCCTCGAACTCGATGCCTCCTGTGAAAACTTTAATATCCATCGTCACAAACGTAAATATTATCAGGATTCCTCTTTCACGAATAATATATCCCGAATAGGAATGTTTCATATTACGATATTCATCAAGATTAAAAGATTATTCCAGATATCGAAGAATTATGAAATATTACACCTGTTTTCCATTCTATTACGAAATCAATATCTATTTTCCAATATCTTTAAATATAAGAAATATAAAATTAAAATTTCTGATATACATAATTTTAAATGTTAAATTATTGAACTTGATTAAATTTTATTTTAAGACAATCTAACTTTTTATCGGAAAATAATTGCGAATTTTTAATATGGAATATAATTTTTTTAAAACAAATTAATCGATAATTAATAATTAAGTTGAATCAATATTTATTCCATTTAAATATTATTTCTACGAATTCATTATATTTGATGTTCAATTTTATCCTCGCCCAACTTAGGTTTTCATTTATATATTGTTAATATTTGAATTATTATCACAAATTGATGTTATCATACGTTAATTATTGTTTATTTCGCCTTATCCGTTTCGCATTTATATTTAATTAATCTCTTATTTTGTGTTTATGGATTTCCACGTTTAAATGAAATGTACAATTATCGTTTTTAATTAAATCTCTTTATCATTTACTTTTAGCGAAAATTTAATATCTTTTTTTCTTTTGAATAAAAATCACGTAATTAGTTTTTAAAATAAACTTTGTTTGAAATTTTTTTTATATATATAATTATTTAATAAGTTCGTTTCTTATTAATTTTCTCAAATTTCATTTTCTGTGAATATATTTTTTATGAATTTCCTAAAATAATAATAAATGCATACTATTAGATTATAAATCCAATAAATTTAGAAAATTTCACAGTTTATAATAAAAATATCAAAAAATTATCATTACAACTTAACAAGAATCTATAAGAATTTCAATATTCATTTCGACAAATGATTGATAAAGCATCAACTTGATATCCTTTCTAAAACAGTATCCAAACTATCTTCTTTTTCTCTGGAATTTTATTTCCTCTTAAAAATGTTGTAGTTTGGTCCAAACCTGCTTAAAAGAAACTTTATTTTCTTTTTTCAAAAAAAAAAAAAAAAAAAAAAAAACTTGGAAAAAGATTCTGGAACGAAAATAGATATGGATAACTACGAATGGTCGACAGACGAAGTTTGAAACATTTCCTTCGCTTTCAGGGACCAGCCTTTTCGCAGTAGCCGCGCATGAATTTGGCCACTCACTTGGATTGGCACATAGCTCGGTTCCTGGTGCACTCATGTATCCCTGGTATCAAGGATTGAGCTCTAATTACGAGTTGCCGGAAGACGACAGACATGGGATACAACAGATGTATGGTAAGTGAGTGTATATTGGATAATTGCGTTGAAAAGCAATAATTATTCTAATTTATTCTGTACTAATTTCTAAAATGAATAGTTCTTTTTCAAGAAATCAAGATATTTTTTTTTTTTCATTATTTTTTCAGCCATGATCAGATTATAAATTTAAAAAGTAAAATATATTTTGAAAGTAAAATATGAAAAAAATTTTTTCTTAATATATATCAGTTAATGAAATAGTATACCTTGAATAGATGGTAGCATTGATTACTAATTGTTGATAGTACTAGTGATTTAATTCATGTAGTCAATATGTATATATTAAATATTATTATCCTCTTAAAATTAGAAAGTTTAAAATTAAAGAAAAAACAAGTTTCAAAGGAATAGATATTATTGATGATATAATTTTAATCAATGAGAAATGAATTAGCAAATTAGAAGTTATTATGATCTTAGTATCAAGTTATGCATATAGAGAATATTTTCATTTCATTATTTTTCTAAGAGATATAAATACATTTCATTTCTTCCAATTTCTCAAATTTTTCAATCATCCTTTTTTTGACAAAAACCTGGTGAGTGACATAATAACCTGGTTGACAACATAATAAAAATCTCTGAAGTCGTTAGATTCCGCCAGTAAAATTAATTCCTGCATTTTCTGCATAATGAAGTATCGTGCACCTCAACATCAGCCTACCTGCATTGACGACAAGTCCCTCGCACTCTTTTTGCTGCTTAAGTGCACCTTTCTTGCTCACGTACCTTCTTGTTCTCCGTTCTCAAATTCTTTTATTCTGAAAAATCTTTAAAAATGAAAATTAGATGTTGTTAAAAATTTTTTAAAATTCTTTAAAAATATCTTATTAATTAATCAATTGAAATTCACAAGAAAAACAATTCAATTTGGTGGTTTTTATCTTTCTTCAAAAGAACAGAAAATACTCTTTTATTTTTGTTCAATAAATTGAAATTTTCCTGGATATACTTCCAATGCTGAAAAAGAATTTGCTTCCTGTGATACGTTTAATTTACTCCAACACCATACAGATGATTTACAATAACCCAGAGACCAGCAGTAAAACCTTTTAATATCGTTTTATCGCAATATTTCTAGAGGATAAAAAAATGTACCAAAAAATATATATATATATATTCACGCGTAAGAGTTAACAAGATTGTTCTGTCCTCTGTGCCTTTCTTCCATCCTCTCCCTCCATAAAAATTAGTTTTTATTCGTTCTAGGGAAAACATGGTTAACACGGTATATTCCTAGGGAAAAATCTGAAAGGACCGAAAGGACATATTTATTCACAGGGGATAATTGAAGTTTGAAATATATATATGGCCAACCAACGAAATTCACAATAAATCGAGAAAACAATTTCGCGAAATAATCGTGACGGTGGAATGTAGAAGGATGTCCCCACAGTTAGTAACAACAGGGTGAAATGAAATGTGAATAAAATATAAAGGACGATCTCTACACCATACTCTTTCCTCTTTGCTTGCGATGCAAAACCGTATGTTCGGGTGATTTAGTGTACCAGAAAGGTTTGCAAGCCTCTCCAAGGATCGCAAATGCATTCCATCTATCCCCTCTCTTCTTTTCTGTTTTTGTCCACTCCCCACATTCCTCTTTCTCTCTTTCTCTCTTTTTCCCTCTCTTCTCTTTAAACGCATTTGTCCCGTTTCCTCTTTTATACAAAGCTAATTTCTTCTTTTATTTCTTTATTCCGTCTACCACCATTTTTATTCATCCCTGTAATTTTTTTTCTCTCCACACACTATCTCTTCTTCCTCTATTTTATTCGTTTTTTTTTTTTTTTTTTTTTTTTTAATATTCTTTTTCTATATTCCTTCAGATGTAGATGTAACCTCCATTAATTTTTCCCTGTGTTTGTGTTCTCGCGTTATCTTTCTTTTACTATGCTCCCTTTTGGCATTTTTTCATTATATCATTTTATCCACATTCGTCTTTGATTTTTATCTCGGTTTTTTGATAAACATTGAATTCATTTTCATTTCATTGTTTATAAGCTGTCTGATAATTTTTCATCAAGTGATATAGAACAGAGAAAATTGATGTGATAAACCATGTCACTTTCAGTTAAATTCACTAATTAGTCTATTGCTTTATTAGAATTGCCTCTCAAATTTATTTCAGCGTTTATAAATAACTCTAAACATATGAATTTAAATATTTACAATTACATATAACATACATATGTATACATATAAAAATTATAATAAAAGCAAAGAGAAAATAAAAGTCAGTGACATCCAAGATAATAAGGAAATTAATGTTATAATATATAAGTTTTATTTATATCATTTGTAAAAATCAAGTTTGAAAATTAAAATAATTTATATTATTGAAATTTTATATATATATATATCATTATAAAATAAAAAAAATTGGTTACAATTAATTTGTAACAAAATATATTTTCTCATTATAAAATATAATTTAATGATATCAATTTTAATATATGTATTTTTTTCCCTATTAAAAGTGACATTATATATAAAAATATGAAGAGAATATAATTACTATTTATTTAATGAAATCAATAAATTAGTTTCTTCACAAATCTCTTAATTGGAACGTATATGTATATTCTAAATTGAAAAACATATGTGTGTTTCCTATTAAATGATGTAAACAAATTTATTTAATCTCAATGCAGAATTCTTTGATGCAACAAAAGATCATACAAACAATAATTTTATTCAAATGATTATTCTATGTAGAAAGATTCTATGTGTGTTTCATCAACAAACAAATTATTTTTACAACAGCCCAACCATTTTCATAATTATTATTAATCATTATTATTTTCATTTTGACTATAGTTAATATTTTTTTGTATGATATGAATTGTTTTATAAAGAAAAGAAATATATAAAAATCAATCATATTATACTTATTTTAAAATTGTTATATACTATCTATTAATTTAAAACCGATAATAATAATAATCTTTTGTCTATGAATTTAACTATAGAATAAAAATAAAAAAAAATATTTTACTCTTATCTCTCCAAAAATAAAAAAAAAGAAAGACAAAAATATTTTCAATATGTATTAATATATAATTACTGTTTATCATTCTTTTCATTCTGAGTACCTACCATTCTTATAAAAAAAAAACTAAAAATTTATGATATAGTTATAATATCTTGATTTAAGGAATATTAATGAATAGTTTGATAGTCTGTCATAAAATGGATATCGTTACTTTCAGAGATTGTGCATGTATTGCAATGTTCGTGACGTTGTGAAATACCTATACTAACAAATAGATTATATATATATGTATAAAAATCGTCCAACAAAGTTTCGTTCTCAACAAAAACACGACGTGGCGCTTTTCAACAGTACCTATTGGTATTTACGGCTCCTGGTACTTGTCACGAAAAAACCCGAAAATCCAAACGTAAATAAACTACAGAACGTTGAATTCTAACTTTTCTAAAACGATCAGCAGTATTGTGTTTCTCTCTTTATTTGAATTTTTTAAAGGCTATAGTTTTCTACTTCCGCCACCTACAACAATGGCTAGAGACAAATAATGATAAAAGATACAGTAGATACAAAAATATCGTTCAAAAATATTGGATTTTTAATTCATTAAACTATTTTTTTTTTATTATTTTTTATTATAAAAATATTGTACAAAATATTTTTATAAAAATATTATTACATAAATTATAGTACAATTACATAAATTATAGTACTAAAAGATTATTTTTTATAGTGGAATTTCTAGTAAGGTTTATATGTATAATTTAAATTAAATGTAATACTTAATTCATAATTTTTAAAATTAAATTCATTAATTTTAAATTCTAATTTTAAATTATATTTTTTGCTATCTCGTTTCAATACTTCAAAGATTTCCATTTTTGAGGTTATGATATTCATTAAAATGATATTATATTTATATTATATTTATATATTATATCCAAAAACATTTGAATTGAAACTTTATATATATTGTAATATAATATATTTTTTCCAAAAAAAATCTAAATTTATTTTTATATATGTATATATATGTGGAAATATTTTCTTCAAATATGTTTGCTTGTTATTATGAAAATAGAAACAAAGATAACTTAAGATTTTTGCATAATACCTATTGTATATAAAACTACAAGTATATGAAATACGCTGAAAATATCCTGGAGCAGAGTAAAGTTTTCCAACATTCTACAAAGGATTACAAGTTATATGTTTATTATAACTTCAAAATTATTCAACTTTTACAATAATCCGCAAGTTTTTTACAATCTAATCACAGTCTTCATTGTTAAAGAAAAAAATAATTTTACTTACTTTAAAAGAAACAGACTTTTAAGTAGTTTTTTCTACAATAATATGGCATTCTTTACATTAAATAGGTCAACAAAAATATTTAATAACAATATAATATATATAATATATATATAATATAATATAAATAAAAAATATTTAGCAATTAATAACAATAAAAAACAATAAAAAAAAATCCAAACGAAAAAAATTAAATAATTATAAAGCATTAGGTATTTCAACTTTTATAAAAAACTAAAAAAGTTAAAATTTCTCTGGAAAAAAAAACGTAATTTTATTTTACAGTAACGTACATAAAAGCAACAACCATTATCGTCTTCTACCGGAAAAATAAAGTAAAAAAAAATCAGAAAAAGGATTGCATAAAATGTGGAATCACGAAAGCTTGAAGTAGTTCCTCAAGATTTCCTTTTGGGATTCAAATCTTGCGTTTCAACCTCTCGATGCTTGTTTGCAGAAAGGTTGGTACATAAAGTTAAAAAGAAGGAAAGAAGAAAACAAAAAGAAGAGGAAAAAAACGGATGCAAATCTCAAGACTTCTCTCTTCTTCCTACAAGTTCATTCAAAGAGAAGGATTCTCCTTGCATCGCAATGCGATGTTTCATAAACGTTCCTCTGAGGACACTGCTTCCTGTCTTAATTACCCCGATCTAACTCTTTCTTTTCTGACTTCTTTTTTCTTCTTCTTTTTCTTCTTTTCTTTTCGTTCGTTTCGTACGTTTCATTCTTTCGTTTACCAAGCACAGCATGCTATTTAATCGAAAGTTTCATTCGAGTTTTATCACTGCACTGCAATGCTGTTGGTGTTTCTTTTATCATTTCGTGTTTCTTTGTCGATCGTTGTTTCTCCCCACGGTCTCTATCTTCGCTCCTGAAGAAACTTAAATTTTAATGTACTATTTTTTTTCATTATTTCAAGGACTTAACAATTATTAATAACCTTGAGAAGATAGTGAATGAATGAAATTTTATTTTTGAATATGTTCATTATTATCTTTATTTTTATCAAAGAAACTTTTTGATAATTAATTTAACAAGGTATTGAATAATATTTTATTATAATTTTTAAATATGATTTAAAAATTATTCTAAAAAAGTCATAAAATAATAATAGAAATATATATATAAACGATAATAAGATCCAAAAGATTATTCGATCAATTAAAGATTTTATTATATTATATTTTTAGCATAGTATTTATTAATTTTTATATTTATTTATTAATATATTAATAAATAAACAATTTTATGCATCAATTTCAAGTTCTTTTATTAATTATTACATCTTTGAGGAATATTCTGATTTAGTACTTAATAAGCAAAATTTAAAGAATTGAAAGAAGAAAAAACTCTCTTCTTTCTATTCATTTTTTTTATTCTGTATTATATCTAGCTTTCATCTTTTCATTTCGAAATCTCATTATCCGAAAGTAGTTATTCCAATAGCCATGTATCAAAGTATATTATTTCTTTTTCCTTTTTTCGTTGAATCTATATTTGTATCAATTTTTAGACGATTATAATAAATAAAATTTTTCGGATAATTATAAAATAATAAATTCTTATTGTTTTTAAATTTTTAAATTTAAATTAAACAATTAGCTTTCCATTCTTGAATCCACAATTTTTAAATATTATTAAAATTTTATTTTCAAATATCTTAATTCCTAGTTTAATTATTGTTAAAATTGTTTCAAAAATTTTTTAAACTTAATTGAATAATGAAATAGAAATTTAACTAAATAGAAAAACATTTTTTTAAATTTTTTGAAATCTAAAAAACTTAAAGATATGAATAAAATCTAAAATCATGAATTCGATATTAAATGAAAATTGAATATTTTAATTTCTATTAATAATTCTAACCAGTAGTATTAGGAGTATTTTAACTATTTTTAAATCTTCTTACACAATAAATTTGAATTTTTTTTTAATAAATCAATTATTCAATAATAATTTGATAATATTAAATAATGAAATTCACTTTTTCAACTTCAATATTCGAGCTTTCAGCAATCTTTAACATTCAATCTTCTGACGTAAGCATAGATGATAAAAATTCATTAGTATAAAGAAGAGAGTCGCTTAATCGTAAATCATTTTATGATTTCTTTTTGTATTAGAATTATAATCTGACAATCTGGAAATTAAAAATGAAGTATAGGCATCATTTTTTTAAATATTTTTTTTTTCTTAAATAGTTTTTAATGTTAATTATTTAATTATTTGGCCCAAACTATCGCTAATATTTTTATTTCAAATAGACCGATTCTGCCTGAATTTTCCCGATCTATCCCGAATTAAATTTTTGAATCACCATGATCGATTAGTTACAAACGAAAAGCAATTGGAATATATTTAAGAATTATTATTAATTAAAATAAATATCTATCTTCTAAAATATATATACCTAATATGAAGATAAAATTCGTAATACACGAAAATGTGTTAGATTATTAAAAAATTACAAATATATTTTCAAATAACCTAACATAACCTAACATTTTGTTTGATGTAATAATATATTACAATTCATTTGCTCCAATTTCATTAATTTTATATATTTTAAGTGAAAGAAGATAATCGCAATAATTTTAAGTTAAATTATGGAGAAAAGCAAAAGATAAGTGAAACAATCAAGTTTCCTTGAAAGCTAAACTATGAGCGAGAAGTCAATGGCAATAAACGTTATGCATAATACATCGCGGCATGCAAAGTATATATCATGCGCAACCCTGTGCTATCTGCATTATTGCATTATTCAGGAACGGTATATGTCCCAGAATCGAATGATAATTAATATTCGCGAGGGAGCTACCAATTAGCGAGTGGAATCTGCACGCGGCGAAGAGAGAGAGAGAGAGAGAGAGAGAGATGCAGAAACAAACAGACAGAGAACGAAAACACTTATTCACTAGCGAATCTAACATCACCTCTTTAATTATTGATTTAATAATTATGAAAATTATTGATAATTAATTCCTTTCCTTTCCTAATCTATTCCTTTGTATTCTAAAAATTATTTTTCATCATGTTCTAATTCTCTGTTATGTTAAAAATTCTTTATTTTTTTGTATATATCTAGGAAAAAGATTAAATATTTTATAAATTTTCCTTTTAAGAAATTTATTTTTTAATTTTTTTTTTTAATTTTTCCCTGAAAACAAATTCATAATTATTATTGTTATTTAAAATTTGTTCAAAAATTCTTTATTTAAAAAAGTAATATTACATGAAAATTATAATATTTCATCAATTGATTTGATGAAATATCGTGAAATATAAAATAAATTTGTCTTCTTTCGTTCCGACTTATTGGAATTCAAGATTGAATCGTCTTCTCGGGATAATAGATCTTTATATTTCTACATAAGTTTCCAATAAGATTGCAGCTTATCGTTCCTTTCATTTCAATTAAGTATATCGATTCGTGCAAATCAATTTAAACTATTCATATACATTTACAAATTGGGCAACTATTAATCAAATATTTTGCTAAAAAAAATTTTAAATCCTTGATTTTATATATTATTTTTATAATTATCACAATCAAAATTTTTTCATATATTAATTAACTACAAATTTTCAATCACATATTTACTTATTCTAATGATCTCTATATAATCAATATAATCAGTATATTTATTTGACGAGTCATTATCACGGTCATGTTACAGGTGCACCGGAAGAGAGGCTCTGGGCCAATCTACCAGGTGGGCCGCCACCTCCGGAACGACCTACAACACCTCGAACAACTACAACAAGCTTTGGGACGACCTATAGACCATGGAGAACAAGACCAACCAGGCCGAATCACTATCCAAATGACGATCGGCCTCGACGCCCTGATCACTACCCTCAAAAGCCGGATTATAGAACAGAGAGTCCAGAGAGGCCGGAGAATCGACCTCAGAGGCCTCACAAACCTCACAAACATCACACGACTTCCACTACAACTACTACTACTACTACAACTACTACCACCACTACCACAACTATGAGAACGCCATACACGCAAAGGCCAAGGCATCGTTACACACCACCGGCACCAAGGAACGACAAACCCGATAAATGTGATACGAGTTATGATGCCATCAGCATTATTCGTAGGGAAATTTTTGTCTTCAAAGGACGAGTAAGTATTAAATAAATTGTTGAATGAATACTTAAATATATTCTCATTCTATTTAGTTAGACGCAAATTTATCATTATCATTTTTTAATGCTTTCATGAAACATTTGATATCATTAGTGATAAATCAACAAAATATAAAAAATAATATAAAAAATTTTTACATTTTTGATTGTTAAAATAATGGAAATATTTTAATCAAATTACTAATTCTTTCTAAATGAAATAATACTGAAATATAATCATACTTAAATGAATATAAATTATATCGATAATATTTAACTAAAATAAAAAAGAATCTTTTCTTCTTTATTTTATTCATATTTATCATTCATATTTATCACTGTTTTGCATTCTTAGAAATAATTCCAGTCAGTAATTCCTAAACTTTTCTTTATAACAATAACTCCTTACTTTCCTTCTTGCTTGATAACAAATACATAGCTATTCCTAAAACAGTATTTTTTTAATTATCCATGTATTTTATCATGATTTATATCATTTAATAAAATGATACACAAAATAATAAGACATAATCATTCATGAAAGAAATAAATAATAGTAAACAAAATGAAGAAACATCCACATAAATTCAGCTACATATCATATTTATTTATATTATATTATTCTTTTGATTAATTAAATAATATTTATAGGGCAAATTTTAATATTTATATAATATATAATTATATAATATATTTCTTTCAGTATTTATGGAGAATTGGTGACCAAGGATTGTATGAAGGATATCCAGCGGAAATCACACGCTTGTTTAATCTACCTGAAGAAATCGATCATGTAGATGCAGTTTATGAGAGGCCAGACAAGAAAATAGTATTTTTTATTGGTAAAAGGTATTACGTTTTCAATGCTAACAATCTCGAACCAGGTTATCCGAAACCATTGACTAGATTGGGATTACCAGAATCATTAGAAAAGATTGATGGAGCAATGATTTGGGGACACAATGGAAAAACATATTTCTTTAGTGGATCTATGTACTGGAGGTATTAAAAAATATAATTATTAAATATTATAAAAATTGTAATAATGTTATAATTTAAATTAAAATTATAATATAAAGATATATATAAATATTTTTAATATAGGTTTGATGAATCTGTAAATCACGTAGAACTTGATTATCCGAGAAATATAAGTATGTTTGCTGGTATCGGTACAGATATCGACGCTGTTTTTCAATGGAAAAATGGTGAGTATTTATATATATTATCATTTTTAAAGTATAATCTAATTATAAAAATGGTAAAAATGATAAAATATTACTTATCATATTTTAATATATTTTTAGGTAAAACATACTTTTTTAAAGGTAAAGGATTCTGGGAATTCGATGATCAAAGAATGAAAGTTGCACATGAAAGACAAAAATTATCAGCACCAGTTTGGATGGGTTGTCCACGAGAATTGGAAACCAATGATGTCGAAAATTATCCAAGAAAATCAAAAATCATGGCTTCGAACAACGCATCGACACGATCAACTCTTTTTGTCGGAATATTTTTTATAGTATATTTTAATAAACATTTGTAAACTGTGATATTTATGTAAAGTCGCGTATAAATGCGAGCGTGTATTATATATATGCGCTCCAATTTACACATGACTAAATTTTAACATACACTTCTCTTATACTGATTATATATATAATAATTTTAATAAAGTAATTTTTAAATAATTGACGAAAAATTTTAAAAATAAATGACTTATCCCGATTCAATTTTTTTATATTTAAAACGCTCTTCTTTTTGTTATATAAAAAACTTATTACGATTATAATCAAGTTGTAATTTAATATATTAAATAAAAAAAATCAAGGGAATCTTTAAATATATTATCATTTAACTCATGTATTTAACAAAAACATACATGTTTATTTAGTGGATCAACTTTAAACGATATGTTAACAGAATATCTTTACAGTTTTTATATTTTATTTTGGCGAGTGGACAAACGGTTGTTTTGCTCACTTTCCTTAACACAACTGTTTTAGACATTTCATTTGAGCAACAAAATATCGCGACTACAGTGTATTCGGGAAAGCGTAATCTTACAAGTTAAAACTTGTTGAACTCGAATTTTACTATGAGCATAAATTATTTGAATTCCACCATAGTACGCGATTGTTTTTTTTATTTTTAATTTTCATTTTCTGTAAGATATTTCCATTTTATTTGTATGACAACAAAGCTTCGTTGAATATTTTATTTTTATCCTTGATATTAAAAGCGCATATCCGGTGGAGAATATGGGTCCCAAGGATTAAGCAACCTTAATGTAGTTTGAACAATGGTATCTACCTCTGCCATTCCACCTATTCCTACATCACCACACATAAGAGTTTTAGAAATGCATGCAACTTCTTTGTATCCCCAAGACTTCAATAGAGCTATCTAAAACAAAATTGATAATCAAATTTAATTGCAATATACAATAATTTTTATTAAAACTATATTGATTCATACTGATTGCTGCAAAGAAAATATAATAAAAATAATATATTATTTAAATATTATAACATATACCTGTGTTGCAGTAACAGGATGTTCCCACATTTTTGTATTCATGGCAGGACAAAAGACCAAAGGCTTTAATGGATCCCAGGCACGTGCAACACAAGTTAATATATTATCACATATACCACTAGCTATTTTACCAAGAGTATTAGCATCTAATGGAGCAATTAAAAATAAATCAGCCCATTTCACTAAATCAATATGCAATACAGGATCACCTCTGTCTTGCCAAGCAGCCCATTCCACTGTATCAGATAAAACTTGAATTCCTGGAGGCAGTTCTGCCTCTTTCAAGAAATGCTTAGCTTTTTCAGTGACCACTATTCTCACTTCAAAATTATTACGCCATAATTTATCTACTAATTGTGGTAATTTAATTGTTGCAACACTACCAGTACAACCAATTAAAATCTTCTTTTTAAAGGTACATGCCATTTTCACAAATTTATATTTGTTTTCCTTCTTAATGATTTGTTATTTATATTATATTTTTTATTTATAAAATTTATTTTTCTTCTATAGATGATATCAAGATAAAATGAGCTTAACTCTTACAACTATAGCTATATTAAATATTTTAGGCCATCTGATATAAGATACCTAAATCACATCAATTAACAATAAATTACATTTAATAAAAGTACTTTTATTAATGATTTCTTTTTCCCTTAGATCTCTATATTGAATATATTTATATTATTAATTTATTTTAAATATTTAATATTTGCTCTGAAGCCTTTTTCTGCACTGAGATCACTTTAATTGGATTGGATATTAAAAAGAATTCTCTACTAATATTGTATCATTATTCAAAAATCATATTGAATAAATGCATGTATTATTTATAATTCATAAAATACATACATAAGTTATATGTCACTACAAATTTACAAATTCACTCTAAAATCCATATAAATTTTATCTAAGATGAAATAAGAATCACCAGCGAAAAAGTTCATAAATACCATTCAAGTGACAAAAACAGTGATCTACAACTTTGCGACAATCGATTAGTAATAAATCCCTGCTGTTATGTCTCCTTGACCTCGTCAGAAAAACCAAGATTAGACCATTCTTCTCGTGCCATAAGCTCATTATCCATTCGACAAGAAAGGTATTCTTTTATAATATCACGACACATCGTGTTTTTGTTATTATTCTCAACTAAACAGCGCATATACTTGATCATAAGCCTTTTGCAAATACCCTCATGGTCGAGTGGAAAACTACCCTTTTCTGGAGGTATAGGTGTAAACACTTTTTGTGAAAATGTATACGATGACATCACTATCGCTGATTACGTTCATACAGAAAACTCGATAAATAGCAAGAGACAAAATTTTCGATAAACTTCTTTTAAGTAAACTTATTACAAAATACACGATAAATCGTAACCGCCATTATGGGATAATAAATATACCAGCGCCACTTACGATGATATTCCTAACTTCATTTTACGCACGCTCTGTGTTATATAATATAAAAAAGATATCCAATTTAAATTAGATATAAAATAAATAATAATAAATAATTGTATTTTCGATAAACTTTTCAATAAAAAAAAACAAAAATTATACAGGAATTTATTCTATTCTTAATAGAATTAAAGAAAAACTTAAAATATAATTAATTATTTATTGAACAATGAAAATAGAAAAATTTTTATTGGATTCTAATAAAAAAATAGTAAGTCAATAAAAAAAATGAGGCACGTTCCCTATATTTACCATTAGAAAAATTAATATTAATGAAATTCTTTTCAAAAAATTTTGCACTTGCATCTAAGATAGAAGCACAGATTAAGTACACAGTAGATCTATTATTCGTTACATTTCTATGATACCATAGACAAAATACAAAATAGACATGACAGATTAAGATAAATAGCATAAATTCTTGAATATATAGAGAATAAGTATAGGCAACAAAAGTAAATAGGAAAGAAGAAAAACACAGATAAGATAAAAACTCGAAAAACAGCATTATATCCAGAGTAATGAATGAAACAAAGAGAATAATAATAAACAAGAAGAGTAAAAAATAGAAAAAGAATAGAGATAGAATAAGAATGATTATCAGTATCATTTCAAATGCTGAAAATTTATTTCAAAAACTATTGAAGAAATGGCGCTAGTTTTTAATTTTAATTTTTAACTCTAACTTATTCTATTTTCAAATATCTTTGGTTTTCAAGAAATAACAATTGATAGTCAATTTTTATCCTATTTCTATTTTATTTTCTTTTTATAATTTGTTCTCTTTATTTATTATCTATTATAGATGTGTTTTATTTACTCTAGAGATGGCGTTGATTCCACAATTTTTAATCTATCTGTGTCTTTTTGCTACTATTTGCATTTATCTATACTTGTCATTAGATAGAGATATTTAATCTGTATAGTTGCTCTTAATGTTTTTGAGACATGAAAAAAAAAATATATTGAATATTATATCTATTCTGTAGTTTGTTTATGATTATTTTATTGTGACACAAAGTTTCATTAAGTATAATAGAAAAAAAATGTTAGATGCACAAGGTTATATTAACTAGGTTATGTTTTCATTAAGATGAAAAAAAAATAATTATTGTTATTAATATTGAATTTAAAATTATAAATATAAATATACTAATTTTATACATTGATAATTAAAAAATGGAAGAAAATGATTTAATAGAACAACAAGATCAAGAAAATTTAAAAAAAATAACGTGGAAAGATTTGGTAAGTTTAAAAATATCTACAAAAAACAAATATACTTAACCTAATAAGAAATATTTTATCTTTTCTTTAAATGTGTATACTTTACTTAATATATATATATTATATTTGTCATTTATATATAAATATATATATTATTTATGAATAAATATTTTTAAAAAATTTTTTTGAAAATACAATATAGATGAAATATAATATTATTATTCATTACAGGGTATTGTAGATGTATTATATAAAGCATGTGAAGATCTGAAATGGAAATCACCTACAAAAATTCAATGTGAAGCCATTCCTTTAGCACTTGAAGGTAAATTGAGAAAATTATATATATTTATTAAAATAAAAAATTATAATGATTAAATAAAAACATGAAATTATAAATAATTTCAGGTAAAGATATAATAGGATTAGCAGAAACTGGTTCTGGTAAAACTGCCGCTTTTGCTCTTCCTATTTTACAAGCACTTTTAGAAAATCCTCAAAGATATTTTGCTTTAATTTTGACACCCACTAGAGAATTAGCTTTTCAAATATCAGAACAGTTTGAAGCTTTAGGTAAAAAATAAATTATATATATTTTATAATAAAATAAAATAATATAAATATAATAATATAATATAATTATATTATTGTATTATAGGATCAAGTATTGGAGTAAAATGTGCAGTAATAGTAGGTGGAATGGATATGATGTCTCAAGCATTAATATTAGCAAAAAAACCACATATTTTAATTGCTACTCCAGGAAGATTAGTTGATCATTTGGAAAACACCAAAGGTTTTAGTCTACGTTCTTTAAAATTCTTAGTAAGCATTAATATTTTATATGTAAAAAAATTTTATATATGTTAAAAAATTCAATATATTTATCACTTCAATATTAAAAGGTCATGGATGAAGCAGATCGAATTTTGAATATGGATTTTGAAGTTGAAGTAGATAAAATTTTAAGAGTAATTCCTCGAGAAAGAAGAACATTATTGTTTTCTGCTACAATGACCAAAAAGGTGCAAAAATTACAGCGTGCATCTTTACGAAATCCTGTTAAAGTAGAAGTTTCAACAAAATATCAAACTGTTGAAAAGTTACAACAATATTATATTTTTATTCCTGTCAAATTCAAGGTGCAAAATAATTGATTAATTTTAATATTTTTTAATATTTAAAATTTTTTTCTTCATAATAAAATTTTGTTATAGGATGTATATCTTGTACATATCTTAAATGAATTAGCAGGTAATAGTTTTATGATATTTTGTGCAACTTGTAATAACACAGTTAGAACTGCCCTTCTTTTGCGAAATTTGGGTTTCACTGCTGTCCCTTTACATGGTCAAATGTCACAAAATAAAAGAATAGCCGCACTTACTAAATTTAAAGCCAAAAATCGATCTATACTTATTTCTACAGATGTTGCTAGCAGGTAAATATATATTATTTAGTAAATATATTTACTTAGTTATAAAAATATTATCTTTATCTTAATTTATAATATTTTTTTTTATAGAGGTCTTGATATTCCGCATGTGGATATTGTAGTAAATTTTGATATACCTACACATAGTAAAGATTATATACATAGAGTTGGACGTACTGCACGTGCTGGTCGTTCTGGTCGTTCCATAACATTCGTAACGCAATACGATGTAGAATTATATCAAAGAATAGAACAGTTAATATCAAAACAATTACCATTATATCCAACTCAAGAAGAAGAAGTAATGGTACTTGAAGAAAGAGTAGCCGAAGCACGACGTATTGTGAAAATGGTAAGATTAATTATTTCTATTTGATTACTATGATAATTATATTATTGATAATAATTATAATAATAATATTTACAAACGCTATGGTATTATTAAGGAAATGAAAGATATCGAGGACAGTAAAAAAATAGGTAAACGAAAGAAGCGACAAGATGACGATGAAGATGATACAGAACAATCTTTAGGAGTTAGAAAAAGAATAAAAGGAAAAAAGAAAAAACAAGGGAAAAGGTTTTAAACAGTTTAACTGTTTTATCACACATAAGTATATTTACTTTTTCTTAATAAATAATAGAAATGCAAGATAGTATTTGTTTTTATTGGCATTGTTATTTGTTTGTTTTTATAAATCAAACCACCATTTCCCTCATATGTATATCTCATGTATCTATTCCAAACTCAATTTGTAAGATCCTTAATTAATTATTGATTTACAAAACCACATTTTATTCCCTTCTGCAACATTCAAATATTTATCTTCAGTAAGATATTGAAAATGATTTCCTTTGATGATTATCGCTATATGAATTTATTATTATATAATAAACTTGATCAAATAGTTCTCAATAAAAAAGTTACAAATGAAAACCATATTCAGAAATAGTAAAATAAAATTTTTTAATATTTAAAGTATCATTACTCTATGTAATAATTTATTTGCAATGAATAAATATCTTTATCCAAATAAAAATAGTATAAATTCTAAATCATTCAAAATCACAATCTTTTAATCATTGTCATTTAAAATTTCCTGCATTATTTATTAATAACAAGAGACTAATGATTTTATAATTTACCAAATTATAAAATAATTTAAAGCAGAATTTTATTTTTTGAAAAATATGAGACAAAGATTAAAAGTATTTAATATTTTGAAAAAATAATAAATTTGTAATAAATGCAGAAATGTTAGGAAATACTTAAATATATAATTCATTAACTTTTTTTTTTCAAATTTCTATAGAAAATAAAATATTCTACATGGTTTCATAATACAAAATACCCAGGAACAATAATGTTCCATTTTACTTTTATAATTAAAATGCAACATTTATATATAAAAGCGACAGTATTCAACTGTATAAAGTAGCAACAAATTCTTATTTTTTATCTTTCGCATATAACATTATATTTTTTTCTATACATCAGACTGTAAAACGATTTTCATCAAAGGTGCATTGAAAAATAATGTAATACTGCATAAAATGAAAAATGTTTGATTCAATTTGTATGTGGTATTCACTTTAAAATATGCTAATTAAAATGCTGTAATATAAATTGCAATTCTTATCCATCTAACTTCCATTAATGTAACAAGCATGACACCTTCGATATACGTTAAAATAATGAACACCATTGAAGGGTCATTGATATTGTTGATATAATCATATTGCAAAATGTTTGCAAAATATGTTAAGAATAAATCTGAAACACGTTACAACTTATAAATCAACATTTACTATAATATTTTTCGTATTCTCAAGAAATATGATTATTCGATGTAGTCATCGAATGTTATCTTTGAAGTAAATTGAAAAAAATCAATGGGTAGATACTATCATGCAAATATAGTGGTCGTCGCAATTTCATTTATAACAAGAGTATTTGCTTAGAATATATCTATTCTTTGTTCAATAAGTTTAATCATCATCGTAAAGCTAAATCGATCAGGTGAGAAATCTCAACTTTTTTTTATTACTAACGAATGCAATATGCCTAATCTCGTTGTCGAAGGCTTTTTTAGTGATAAATAACACGTGTGCAGGCGATCACTTCAATTTTTGAAGTAAAAGCTTTTTGTCTGAATTTATTTATTTTAAATATCGATACTATCTGCATCATTTAACAAGAAAGATTAAAAAGATAAGGAAATATACACACACATATATATATACATATACAATATATATACATATACATATATATATACATATCAAACTACCGAGAGAGTCTCTCTATTTTTTTTTTAATCACAGATGCTTTATCGCACATGACATAATATCGATAATTTATAATAAATAAATTCGTACAATATGGCTTTATTTCTCATTCGCTCTCGTTCTCTCTCTCTATTTTATTATTTTATAAATACATATGCACAATAATTATCACGAATCATCATTCGATAAACATACGTTGCACGTAAAAATTGCTAAAAAAGAATTAAACCAAAATTTCCTGAATTAGCAGGATATGCATTAAAGAAATAGCTAAATCAATTATCAAATAGCTATTTTGACTTCGACGACGAGTTCAAGATTCGTGTTTAAACTGTTAGAACGTATCTATAAGTAACCTGGTCGAGGGCAGAAATCTAATGGATGGAATGTTCTGAATGCAAGGTGTCAGAGATGTGTCAGATGCCAAAAACTGAAACAACTTAAGTTTCATTTAAATGAGAAATAAAATATATTCCATAATATTATTATTCACTATTTCTACACATTCTGTACAGTAATTCAATTTAAGGGTTTTATACCTCAATATACTTTATACAAAAAGGCTACTTATAATCTAACATTAAGACATACCATAGCATGAGCGCCCTCCACCTTACCGCTAAACGGCAGATGGGCCGCACGCATGTTTGTACTGGTATTACAGAGTCAGTCGCCAGCGAGTATAACTTCTTCCTCTTGTATCACACACCACACACTAAAATATTAAAAGTGTGTCTCTGGTGCTTTTCATTCATTATTTTTTATGGTTACAATTTACTGTCCCCGATTAACTTACTCCATTAGTTGCATTTTTGTTTCTTTCAATTGCGTGATTCGTGTTTTGCTTTTCTATTTCTCGAAAAGGAATATCGCAATGTCAAAATATAATGAAGTATCTTCATTGCTTGCTATGCACGAGCTTTTCTTTCATTTTTGTTTCATATACTTTTTTCTGAGATACTCTTTACCAATAAATAAAATTATATTTTGTGAAAATATAGAATTGTAAAAAATAAAATCTGTCTTTTCGATTTTTGATAATACCGGTACAGAAATAGTGCATTCGGAGACTCCACAAACAACAAAACTGTTAATTCAGATCTCTGTCCTCTAAGTACTTGTACTCAAATGTAAAACCTTCCTTTTTCCTCTGTCCCCACTTTTCATAATCAAAATAAATGTAGGTTCCCTATAACAATTATATGTACATAATAAGTTCACATAGTATATTGTTACATATTGAATAATGTATTTCACTTATAAAGTAATTAAAATCAATTTCAATTAAATCAATCTTTTGTTATTAACCTGTTCATATTCCTCATTAATCACTTTTGGTTCTTCATGCCTTTGAAACCACATCATATATTTTGTATGAAACCTCCAACTTTGTTTCTTTAGAGCTTTTGCAGCCAGGTACTGGCCTTTAGAACCTTCCATATAATAAAATATGAAGAATAACGTTTCAGTAGAAAGACGTTGAAAGAATTCCACAGTATCAGAATGAGGAAGTTGGACCTGTTATATACAATACAAATCAAAAAAATAGAAAAGAAGAACTAAAAATTATATTATTACATTTTCAAAGAATAAATAATATGATACCTGTTGATAATAAGGAGGTGTAGGACATAAATTTCTTGGTAAATATGATCTTAAACGTTCAGAATCAGATGGGTGAGGCATATGGTAGTAAGCAGCCTCCATCATCTGGAACTGCAACTGATGTTCTTTCTGTAGAGGTACTGGTCCGAGTGGCGCAACACCGAGTAGAGGAGGAATGTGTGCTTCCGAAGTAGCATTGCTGTTATTATTGTTCGCCTTAGCACTGTCAAAGATGTTTCTGTTCGACTCGGACGGCGGTATTTCCAGACCTGCTCGGACAATTACTTGTTGGGCTATAGATTTCAAAGAGGACATGCCATCAGGAAGCTTAGGGATGAGACCATTGGCAGTGGATGGCGCTGGCGAGCAGGAATTTGCGGGCAAAGGTGAAGATCTACTGCTAACTGATGACTGAGGCGAAGAAGATGGTGGAATCGGCGTTGTCATTTCCGTTTCACTACTGTGATTCTGATTTTGTTGATTATGCAACACATGTGTCGTCTGTATAGGCGCTGGATTATTGTGCTGCTGCGAGATCGTTTGTGGCACATTCGAGGTAACGCTAGACGTGGACGATGATGATAATAAACCATTTTCACTACTATGAGCTGTAAATTTTAGAAAATATCTTACTGTTAGAAAAATCTTACTGTTAATGATTAAACTTGTTTGATAATTGACATATTAAAGAAATATAAATTATATATATTTTTATAACTTATAAATACTTACAAGATGTTTTACTAGAGGTAGAATGGATGGCTTGAGAATTAGTATGTGAAGCAGCTACTGTAGCAAAATTGCCGGCATTAGTTGTAGCAATGTGATTACTTGTAGAACTAGGCGAGCTATGGCTAGGTGTCATGGGAATGGTTTTGCTTGGAGTGCTGCTTGATAATAAATTCGATTTTATGGTGGCAGTGCTTCCCGTGGTTGGAATGCTCGCCTGTGAATTTAATAATGGCCTGACTGCTGTTGGTTTCACAGGCTGAAATTAAAATATACAATAAAAATTTGTTCATCATATATTATTATAGTTATCAATATAGTATATAATAAAATATCAATATTATGATTAAATTATGATAAAATTATATACCTTTGTTTTTTTATCATTATCTGTAGAACTATCACTTGAATGATTGTGCATGGTAGAACTTAATGGAGGTGATGGTATAGGTGAAGTACCAGAATTAGTTGAGGTTGGTGTACCTCCAGTCTCATTGCTATTATTACTATCTGTAGTTGCTGATGAGGGAATACCAACTCCAGACAGTTCAACTTCATCGAGACCAATAATATCATCATAAATATATTCATTTTCCTCAAAGTCAGGTTCCTGTGAGGATTCGATATAATACTCTACATCATCTTTTATCCTCTTAATCTGTGAAACAAATTAGAAAATAAAAATTAAATAATTTTCAAAAATTTTTAAAAAAAAAATCAAATATTATAGTACATAACTTACAGTGTTAACTTCAACAGACATATTATCCAACATACGTAACAATGTTTCCAATTTACGAATATGATAACGATGTTTATCAAGTTTTGCTTTTAATTCATCCATCCTATCTTGTTTATCTTTGTCTAACCTTTTTTTCTTTCCTGCGAGTAATGATTCTATCTCGGATTCAAATGTATCCAGCTACATTAAAATCATCAATATTTTGTAGTTTTTTAAAATAATATTTCCTTCTTTATTTAAGAATTACCATATTTTATACCTGAAGATTCAAAGCATCTATAGAATTTGCAAGCCAATTACTAACTTCTTCCCGTTCTTTTTGAGCTGGATCAAGTTTTTGAGCTGCTCCTAAACCTTCTTTTGAATAAGCTTTTGTTTTTGTTTCTCTTTCCACAACCTTAAACCTTTCCATTTGCTAAAAAAAAATATATATATACAACAAATGATTTATAATAATTCTGATAATATTAATTCCTTATTAGAATATAATACTTACAGTTTCAATTAACTTCCTATATTCAAGAAGTGTGCTTTTATCCTTAATTTCACCTGATGCAAGCCAGGTTTTAATTTGATCACGTAACCTCTGGAGTTTTTTGATTTCCTTCTTGAGATCTGCTTCATATTTCTCCTTCTGATTGCTGTTTGTAGCATTATGAACTTTTTGCCAAATATCTTCAAATGTTTCTACACCTTCTGTTACTTTTTTAAGGCACCGATCTATTTCACCTGCAATTAAAAAAATATATTAATTAATATAATAAAGTTACTATTCAATAGCAAATTGAAATTTTTAAATTAAATGCAAAAGCAAGTCATTTCATTGAAAATTATTATTATTATTATAATAAAATTGTTTATACTGCAAATAACATAAATAATTGGTTATAATATACTTCATATAGACACTAATTATATTTAATGTATTATATGTAATAAAATGCACCACATAATAATTATTTCAATGAGTTATTCATACATAATATTTAAATATTATGATTTATCAACTTATAATAATAATGAGTTCAATAAAATATAATTCAAAATAATGAAAACAATTTATTTTTGATTAAAAATTTTTTAAATTATCTCTAAAAGAATATAAAACTAGTGATTTACAAAAACAGCTTATTAAGCAATTTATGCTAAAAAGCTTATATCGATGAAAACTTTACATATGTTATATTTTGAATTGTTGTATATGTATTGTGCAAATAAAATGTATAACTATTTTAAAGGTTATGCTGACATAAGGAAGCGGTATTAAACTCTTATAAATACAGTACACGCAAGAAAAAATAACTTATACTAAAGAAACATATGAAAAGTTGAACTGAATACACTAGTTCATTATACTCTGGCAACCTGTACCAACTGTCAGGCATAGAAGCCTGCATGCGAATAGATAACGCGAGTTAAAAATAGGCTACTACTGATCGCAAATACAAACGTTTAAACTTGCAGAGAGCTGCAGAACGCGAAAGAAGAACGAAAGCAAAGTTGTAGTAGTGGGCCATAACAAAATTTCTAAATGTAAACATGCTGGAAACATTTTCTCCTCACCTTGCAACTTTCTCGTCGCAGCCATGGCTATGTAAACATGTGATACAATAATTCATGCATAGTCTAGACGTAATGGAAAAAATACGGTACAATTTTACGGAACAAATAGTCGTTGAACTATTATTCCCTGTATAATATGTGAGGCTCGGCCACAAGATGGCTTCCGTTTTCAAATGACAACGTCCGACCGTCCGTGAATGAGGTGCGTTGATACTAGTTCCGTTTTTCCGTCAATCTTTTAATCTTGATAGTGTAGAATATGCGCTACGTTTGGTCGAAAATCGACAGCACATAAAAATACACAAAAAGTGATAGCATCAACAAATGATATATATGAAATACTGAATAAATGAGATGGTATATTATGCATTGGCGCATTCACATTCTACCTAACGCACATACTTAACATGTTCGCGTTCATAAACCAATTGAAATTTGGTTGAACCTTTCGATGCATTTACAATAATTACAATGAAAATGTTCTTTTATATGTTTTTCGAATAAAAAATATAGATTGTATTTTATTTCAACCGGTATTCTAAAAAAACTTAAATATTAAATGATTTATTGATAAATTATTTAGATAGAACAATAATAAATAAAATTTGTTAAATTATAATACGTTATTTATACGTAAGTTTTCTGAAATTTTTTTATTATTGAGTTTTTATTTCATAAATTTAGATTAAAACTTTGCATATTTTGAAAATATTAGATATGAATGAATTTATATATAAAATTATATAAATATATATATATAAATTAATTTGATCAATTTAAAATTCTATAAAAACTATTTGAATAAAATTTATATTATATAAATAAATATATGTAAATAAATTTAGTTTAATAAATAAAAAAAAATGTAACATTTTATTATAAAAATTAAATTTAAATTTTAAATTTAGATAACTATTTAAATAAAAATAATATCAATTTCCTTATTTCAAAATATAATTATTTAATATATCATAATTTTTTATAATATATTCTATTTATCTATATTAATGTCATATTAATGGCATATGTATATTTTTTGCATATTTTTAATAGGATTAAATAATGTATTACACAATTTAAAGTTTATAATCAGTTTTTATTATTATTATACTATTATTAAAAAATTTGATTAATAATTAAATATTACATTCAATAAATACTATTATATTATTTGCAATGATTATTAAAATAAATTTAAATTAAAAATTAATTTACTTATTTAAAAATTTTAAAATATACAAAATGTTGTCATTATTTTAATAAAAATGTTAATATTAATGTATAGGAATTGTTGAAATAATTAATATAATTAAATTTATTAAATAATAAAATTCACATAGAACATCGCATAAAACATTGTAAAACATTTAAAATATGTTTTATTAGTTTAAAAGTAAATTATAAACTATAAAATATTGTTATTGGTAAATTCATATCATATCATATGTTTTATTATATTTGAAAAATTTATTTTATTTCTTTTCACATTGCAAACAAAAAGTATAAGATATATATAATATATATATATAAAATAAATACATTTTATTAATGATTTGTGTATTAAATATATTATTTCGAGTAAATGCATGGAACAAGAGAAATATTTAAAAAAAAAATAATTATAAGAAATTTTCATTTTAAATTGGTTTACTTTATCAACAATTTGATAAAGATTAAAATAATATTAATAATATTTAAGTATTTGCGCAGAAATAAATTGACTTTAACCGAAATTTAACGCTTCAAGTTGCTGGCACAGGTTAAGAGTTAGAGTGGGGGGTATCACAGGCACTACGTTGGGCGTATATGAATACGTCCACGAGAGATGCCGTCGTTTCGTGTTTCGAGTTTTTGCACAACAGCCGTGGGCCAAGCAACAACGCACTCGCGCTCAAGTCAAATCACATTCTTCAAGAAAGATTCGAAGTTCTATATTGATTATTACAAAACTGAATTACTGCAGTCTCCGTTTCTCTCAATGGTTTTAGCCTAACCTCTTCTATTGCAAACTACAGTGGAACATGACAAAAGGTGGCATCACTGGGGATGTGTTGGAAGCACGGACAGAGCTGTGCTCATTGATATGACGCCATTTTACTAACCTTTTCGGCGCGGATCGCGACGATCCACTTAAGGTGCTCCACTTCGTACCACTTCAAGAGCGTTCAGTTTTATCGTTTACATTTTATAAACCATACACGCTCTTTCGTAATTCCAAGAGATTCGTTCAAGCCGGATTTTACCGGAAGGTATGCAACCCTCGTTGCACTGGGATCATTCTTATGTGCAACAAAAGCTTACAGCAATACTTTTTTGCTGAAATTTGTTACTACGGCATCCTGGCTTCGTGTGTACTTTCATTCGTCTTATTTTGACACTAATTTCGTCGTAGTAAACTGTTTTTGTGGGAACTTTGGGGCTGTGTCATCGTGGAGTGATGATCACTGCGAAGGGCTTCTTGCATGTCATACCATGTGCTCAATTTTGTAATACCCTTATCAGAGGTATTATATTACTTGCTTATTTACCTTATCAAGTATAATTTAAACCTAAAGTTTAATTTTCTTTGATTTATTATCTGAATAATATATAATGTTTTTAAATTTATGGGTTGTCTTTTGAAGCCAATTATTGTTTACTTTTTTAAATTGTCATATAATAGTTTGAATCATACATAAAATGATTTTAAATATTTAATTGTTCTCATTCTTATAATTATATTCTTAAAAAATTAAGATTTTTGATAAATAAATATAAATAGGTAGCTTTATAAATTTATAATGTTATTATTATAAAACGTTATTTCTAATTTTTGTTTGAAGCCAATAATATTGTTTACTTTTTCAAATTGCCATATAATGTCATATAATCAACTATAATATATAATTTAAACATTTGATAAAATACTTGATGCTGTAGTTACTTATTTGCTTAAAATAATTTGACATTCATTTGATTATATTATAATTTTTTTTTTATTAATTTCATATAATTTAAAAAATTGTTATAATTTTATATAAATTTAATTATAATGTGAAAAAGTATTTCTTTTCTATTAAAATATTTTTATTATTAGAATATTCTTTGTTAAAGTTTATTTTATATGTTGCAGGTAATATCACTGTAGCCAAGCAGTGTTATTATGGAAGATGAAGATGGTGAAAGTAAAGTTATGGATATGTGGAGCATTTTGGGAAAACAACAACTTAAAGATACTTCTATTGGAAATTCATTGAAGTCATCTATTGACAATACATATACTGATGTAATAGAAGAAGAAAAGCAATTATTGCAATATAATTCTATTACAACCAAAGATTCTCCAAGCAAAAATAACAGTACAGGATCGAAAATTGTGTTTAAAGGTTTTAAAAAACGTATTTTGGCACAAACTCAAGAAACACAAACAAATACATTAAAAAATATAGTGCAAGAACAACAATCACCGCATTCTAATGTCTCATCCAAAAATAATAAAGAAAAAAGGGCAGAAATCAAACGAGGCAAAATAACAGAATATGCACAATATTTGGGTCTTCAACCTTCATCAAAAAATAAGTGTTCAAAGTGTCAATCATCATCAAATTTGTGTTCTTCATTAAAACAAAGTTCGTGTTCTTGCAATTCCACAATGACACCAATGCCCAGCACATCAGAATCATCTACAGTGCCACATTCTCCCAATTTTAAAATTACAAGAAAAGTTTATCTTTGTGCAGCATGTGGCACATATTTTGAAAATTGGAATTTATTTTTACATATGAGAGATATACATAAACGTCATATATGTTTATTTTGTCTTGGAATGTTTGGTCAAGCTGAAAGATTATCACATCATTTAATAAAAAAACATAGTGTTCCAGAAATGGCGTTTACATCTGTTGAAGATTTTTATGGTGCTTTCAAAGGATCGTGTTATTTAGTTTGTTGCACATGTGAGAAAGTTTTTTCAGAAACAGATAATTTTTATAATCATTTTTGTTCACCAACATCTAAACAAGATATTACTACATCTATATGCACATTATGTAGACAAACAGGTTCACATGCAAGTACTTGTAGTTTAGCTGTTGAAACTAATAAAGAAATAAATTCTGGTTTACCACCTACTACACAAACAGGGGTAATATCAACTAATGTATTTGATAAGGATGTAAATAGTGAAAATAAGACTGTCCCAAAAAAATTAATAAAAAATAATAGATCTAAACACATGGAAGATATGTCAAATCAACAAAAAATAATTCATGCAAAAAAGACCAATAATAAAGTTGCTGTATCTCAGTCAAATGAGAGCCAAGTAATTGATGAAACATTAAACAGGGATGAAAATTCTCAGAACTTAATAACACAAAATATAGCTAAAGATACTATTTCAGAAACTATAATGGAAGTCTCAAAATATATTGAAGAATCTAATGAGAAAAAGGAAGAAACAAATGAGAAAAAGATTTGTCAAAGTAATTCAGAACTAAATTCTATTAATTCACCCAGCCATAATATGCCATATGATAGTGTAACAGAAACTATTATGGAAGTATCACGATGTACAAATAATGTAGAAAATCTTGATGATAAAAATAAGAAAGAAAATGTAAAAGATGAAGTTAATTCATTGAATGCATCTGATAAATCAGAAATGGATTCTAATGAAACAGCTAAACTTGATACAAAATCTTTAAGCTCAACTGAAGAAACTAATACTAAAATAAATGATATAAATTCTATAAATCAAGAAGTAGAAGAAAATATAGTGAAAGATAAAATGGAAGAAACTATATTAAAAACAGAAGACTTTCAATCTCATATATCTGAAAGTCCTGTGCATAGTCCAGTTAGTAGATCATTATTTAGTCCTCAACATGAATCAAATATATCTGATCTCCAGTCCAAAGAAAAAATTTATGAAAATGATAACAAAGAAAATTTTGATGCACCTAATGAATCTCAGTCTTCAGTATCATTCAATACCAGTGAAACTTCTGATAGAAGTTTGGTTATAAAAATATGTACTAATAAAAATTCTCAATTTTCTGTTGCAACTAATAATGATAGTGTAGAAAATGATATTAGTAGAAAATCAGAAGAAAATAATAATGCAGAAAGTTCATTAACAGAAGAAAAGGAATCTAAAATTTTTGAAGAGGAAAGAGATAATACTAATAACTATCAAGTGAATGATGAAGACAGTGATTCTGATAGTTTCAAATTGGCAGTAGTAGATAGCAATCCTGAAGAAACTGAGGAAGTTGAAGAAAGTAAAACAGAAACAGAAATTAAAATTGAATCAAATATAAATATTGGAAATAATGAAAATCAAATTGAAATTGCTGGTGAAAAGACAATTAATATAGATACAAATGGAAAACAAGATGAAAACACAAAAGATAATAATCAAAATCAGATTGAGATTTCAACACAATCTCAAATGCAGCC